CACTGCTGCTCATCCTTAGCTGTGAAGGGGGTGTCCTGGTCGGAATCAGTGCTGGGTGCAGTGCAGGGCTGGAAGTCCATGTCCACACTGTGGCTCAGTGCAGTGAAAGCCAATCTCACCCCCTCCGCAGGGTGTTCCGCCTGCCAGCAGGTGGCCAGCTGGTCTACCTGGGATACGGTGCCATTGTAGAAATTGGGTGCAAGTCTCTTGTCTGTAGACGGGGTGCCCTGTTGCAGTGGGATGTCTCCTGACCTCCCTCAGTCCTGATGGGCCTGGGCAGGGCCTGGTGTCAGGGTCCCCATGGGCTTCCCGGGCTAACCCTGCCCCACAGTCCCGGGGCTGTCCAGGACACATTCAGAAGGGACACGGACCCAGCAGCTCTGTTCGAAATCATAATGGGGGAACCAAGGGTCCCCCACATCCAGGTCCGTCGGGAGCCGGGGCATCGAATTCTACTGCAGGAATCTCCAGGAACCCTGAGGTCCTCCCTGAGCCGGGGCTGGGCTGGGCACATCCTGAGTGCCCACAGGATAAGTATCTTCCCGGACAGCCTCAATAAGACAGGATGTGAAAGAACCAGGTGCCTGTGGCAGGGAAGCTAACAAAATGAGCCACTGGAACTGGGCCGGTGGGCCAGGAAGGGTCTGCCTGTCCCCCTTGCAGAGGGCCTTCTTGCCATGTGAAGCCGGCGCAGGTCTGGGTGCTGAGGACCCTTGCTCGGGTTTGGCTGAAAGGAAAACAGACATGGTCAGCGTCCCTAGTGAGCCCAGGCAGGCCTTTCCGGGCTGGGCCCCACCTGCCTGCGTCTCTGGAGTCCTCGGGGTCTCTGTGTGGCCCCCGTGGTCTGACAATGAGGACACACCTGTAGTCTGCTGATGCCAGAGGGAGGGGTGTGTGCCGCCTGGCATAGGGAAGCTGTCGGGACATGGCAGGTGGCTCCTGGGACTGCCTGCCAGGGTTCAGACTGGCTGGAGGCTTCCTGCCACTCACCCTCATCCCAGGGCTATTGGGCCAGGGATACAGTCCCCAGTTCAAATTCAGGTGGGAGGGGCCTTGGATGTCACCCAGCCCCTTGCCACCTCACATGGGGACCCATGTCCACAGTGGGTGATTGGACCTGGACATGGGTCACCCTCTGCCCTCCCGGGCTGCCCAGTCCATGCCAGGACTGACTGTTCCCACATCTGTCTGAACTCTTGACTCTGGCTCTGGGCCTGGAGTCCCGCCTATGCCCTCTCACTGAATGCTCTTGGGGTCAGGGACACCCGATTCCCTTGCCTCCCTGGCTCAAGGCTTTTTGTCCTGGCAACCTTGGAGGAGCGTGCAGTAGTGAGGGGCCTCTGCTGCTCTCTGAGGCTGTGGGTGCTTGCAGCGAGGGGTGGAGTCTCCCACAAATGGGTCTGGCTCTTCCAGTGCCCTTGACGGCCTTGTGATGGGGAGACAGAGACACCGTGGAAAGTGGGAGGGGGCTTGTTGGAAGGTCTTGCCCACATCGCCCTCCTGCAGGCACAACACATCCAGTACACACGCACTGAGCGCCTGCCGTGAGGACCGGTGGGCCTCCTGTACTTTCCTAGAGTTCAGGAGGAAGAGGAGGAGGAAAAGGTGAAGAGGAAGGCCCAGGTAGTAGGGTTGTGGGTCACGGGCACTCCCCCACTATTGACTGCCCCAGAGGGTGACATGGGAGGGGACATGGCACTGGAGCCCACCTGGGGGTGGCAGGTCCCCTTGCTTCCTTGTTAGTTTCTTCATAGAGGCCCTAAGATGCTTGAGCACAGTGTCATCATCCAGGGTCCAGGTGTGGAAGAACTGGTTCTGAAAACGTGCCCACAGGCCAGACCTGGACGTCTTCATAGGCGCTCTAGGGACAGGGTGGACATCAGGTCAGGAGAGTTCCCTGGGAGGGGGCACAGCTGATACCCCACGACCACTTCAGTCTCCCACTGGGCAGTGCCGGATCCTTTTGTGGCCACCCCAGGGGTCCAGATGTGCACAGGAGGCTGTGGCGGGGGGACGACCTGGGCAGGGAAGTGCTCACCACACTCTCGACTTTCATCTGGGTCATGTGGGGGATGGGCTCGGTGTCACTGTGCCCTGCCCAGCCAACCTGGCCAGACCTCCCTCTGGGTCAGAACAGAGGATCATGAGGATCCTGTGAAGAAGCTGCCCTCGGGCCAGTTGGGATCTGACCCCAGGGCTCCCAAGGCCCCACTGGGCACACAGACTTACTCTTCTGAATCTTAAAGGCAATGCTTGTTATCAGCATCAACACCTGTTCTCCTTCCAGCAAATACACGTCCCACAGGTACAGGGTGAGCCCAAGAGAGATCTGTGGGGACAGCAGGTGTGGGAGAACCTGGCCCTTCCAGGCTGGGGCTGGTGGCTTGAGCTGCACACATTGGGGCACAGTCCCCAGAGTCAGTGACCTTCCCCATGAGGGTTTCCTGAGCCCTCCAGGGTGCTGGGTCAGACAAGGTCTTGCAGCTCCTCATGGGGGGCACTCATTGGAGTGGGGATGTGGCTCCTGGAGAGAGGGGCTTGCCCAGGGCTTGAGGCTTCCCTGAGCCCTCTCAAGTCGGGTCTTGGCCCAGTCTGCCCATGAGGCTGGTCCTGAGCCCCAGTCATTGCCCTGGGATGACCCCTCTTGGGCAGAGGGTTTTGCTTGTGAGTACTTCGGGAACCCGCCTGAGCCTCCTGTGGGCTGTGGGTGAGCCAGACCCCGGGCTGGGGATGCAGGGCACTGCAGGGCAAGGAGGGTCCCTGAGCCAGGGTCTTCCTGTGCCTCTTTATCCCATCATTCAGCATCCGGTGAAGCCAGCCTAACGAGGAACCCTGCGCGCAAAGACCTTCCTTGTCCTGACGGGAGGAACAGAGGTGCTC